GAAATGATTTATATATGAAAATAAAAGAAATTCAAACTGAAATTAATTCTAATAAAGATAAAATTAGCAAATTAAAAAGAAATTCAATATATACTCAAAATTGTAGAAAAAAAAAGCATAAATTACTTACTGAAAATCAAGAAGTGATTCAATATAATAAACCCGGCTATTCACCACTACTTTTTGAATATTCAGACTTACATGATCAGATTTATAATTCGGTTGAGTTCAGATCACCTAATATAAAAAGATGAAAAGAAGTGATTAAAGTGCGAATTATTAAAAACTTACATAAGAATCTCGAAGAAAGATATAATGTTTATATGACACAAATAACGTTAAATAATTATCTCTTATCTCACCAATCAAATTTCATTGCTATAAAGCATATCGTCATCTAGCATGGATAGCAGTAGCTGAAGTTTCGCGTATAGATACAAAAGAACATATTGATGGATATTATTGTCTTGCATCCATTAAATATGCAAGATAATTTACTTCTGTATTTGCTGATGCATCCATTATTATATCTTAAGATGATAAAGCAAAAGTAGGTCTCAGTATGCCTGCAGTGGGTAAAACATTTCACACTTTACAATCAATTAATGAGCTTGTGAATGTAGCTGATCATGATTTTTCTACTGGATATGGACAAAAATTAATTCCTTCAGTATATCTAATGGTAACACCAAGTGAATTAAAAGATGATTTTTGAATAGGACAACTTGTGATTAATATTCGTCCTTAATGGCCTATTGGTACATCTTCATTTACACATATGCAAGATCTTATAAATCTTACTATGAATTTCAAATATAATGATATATTGAAAGTAAATGAACAAATTTAGCCTATTTGAATATTGTTAGTAGATGAAGAACAGAATAAAAACCTTAGATATTTAAAAAATATAAATTCATATTTTTAGCTTTTTAAAAAGTTTGATTTGAATTACTTAAGTGTCTGAATACATGCTTCAGGATAATTAAAATTAAAGATGGGAACTGTAATTAATATGTTGCAACTTTTAATGTTGCAACTTACGTTGCAATTAGTTTTAACCTATAAATGTTACAACTAATTTTAGCTTATGTTGCAACATTTTGTAAATTTGAAATCAATTGCTGTACCATCTTTAATTAAAATACAATCCTGTTGAAAGAGGCATAGCAATATTATCCTAGTATAAAATTACCAATCGATCATTATAGCATTCATTTGAACTCATAAGGTAAAATTATAAATCCAGAATTAGCTACTCAAAATTTTCAGCACGCTGGAAAAGCTCTTTGCAATATTTGGAATTAAGTCTCGATTTTTGAAAAATATGTGGATTGATACATTCACAAACCCATTTGAAAATATATATTTCGAGGATACAGAAAAAGAAAAGGTTGATGAATTAAAAAAGCAAGAAAAACAGAAACAAAAAAATACAAAAAAAGGATAGCATACCTGAGTGTTTTATTCCATGGTCTTGGATTGAGAATTATTGCAATCTATATATGTATTCTATTGTTATAAAATAATGCAAAGATACGAATTGTTATGGTTTACCTAGAGCTAAAGAAGCAATAGACTTTCTCAAAATCTACAATAGTTTCATACCATCTGTTACCAAGGGTAAAGATAGACATTTTACGAACCCAATTCATATACTCCAGTACTAAGATATTTTGAAAATTTCAGGTTACGATAAACATTATCCTTCTCTTAAAGAAATATACTCATGCCTTCATTGCCCTATCTGTGAAAAATACTTTTCTACTCTTACTTTTTAACGAGTCATAAAAGAATAGTGCACCTTATTACTTGAGGATGACCTAAGAAGTAATATAAGAACTAGCTTAATGACTTTTCCCTTCTACCTTCATAACAATCTGTTAAAGAAATTGATTTAATAGAATATAATTCAGATGGAGAATAAATTGGTTGGATTTTATTGGCTGTCTAATAGCAATTTTTAATTTAGTCATTGATCATTCAAATTTTGGTTATTATCATTACCGTAAATAAATTTTGATTTTTGTCATTCTAAAAAACTAAGCTATGTCAATCACATGATATATATTTTTAAGTGTAATGTAAGACACCTATAAGACATCTCAGCTACTTCCCCATCCCCTAAAATATTACGTAATATATATCAGTATCCTAATAAATACTATTTATTAAATGCTAAAGAAAATGATAGTGAATATGATATTATTATTTTAGATCAAAATAAACCAACAAGAATTTATATCAAATAAAGGTAAAGCAGATTGCTAAATCAATAAAAAATCATTGTAATAAGACCAAATATTGTGATATTAATTTTTATTTACAAAAAGTTGATGAAGAATTTGATCAGTATTAATAATAATTATTATTTAATATCTATTTAAATTAATTCATATATTTTTATTATCAGCATTACAATCAGGTATATGTTTTAAGAAAAAACATGTCAGATATAAAAGATTAAATTTTCTTATGAATCAGATTGCAAAATTATCTGGAGTTAATATAATAGAACAAAAAAATATCAAATCATTCTAGAAGAAAAATGCTGATACAAAGATTATAATATATAACAATTAGACATTAGTAAGAAAGATATTGCATTAAAATCACAATATAAATCACTTGAGAAGATTAATGTATATACTTACATTCTGAATAACAATATCATGATATGTTGAATGAATTTGCAAAAAAATTTCATTTCAAGGATTAATCTAAATCTCATGGTTTTATATTTTAAACATATATTTATTTATTAATTACTTAATTTAAAAAAAATCAATATTTTCTTTTTTAATAGATTCCAACTCTGATGCTAATACGTATGGATTCAAATAATACTTTCAAAGATCAAGAACAAGAAGGATTTATTTTTTATAAAAGTAAGTAAATAAATAAAATTGTTAATTGCGGTAATACGAAAAAATATTAATTAATTATTATATCACCCCAATTCCTAAAGTAATTTTAGATTATAAAATACAAAAATAAATCATAATTATAATAACACATATTTTACTTTATTAAAAACAACCCTAATATTATATAATCACATGACCGAGCTTTTTAATATAATATCACATGATCCTGTTACAAATAATTTTCTTAAAAACAAAAAATTGAAAATATAATTAATATATGATAAAACTTTAAATGAAGTTATGTATTGTTGTAACACTTTCGTATTTGATATACATATATAGTTAGTGCATTTGTAAAGAGTGAATTTTAAATTTTAAATAATAATTTTTAAATTTTTTTGTGCATGAGTCGGACCAAATCATGTGTGTACACTTTGGTCAAAAATTGCACGAATCGAAGCAAGAATGCATCCGTGCATTGCATGTTTTGTTTTTTTTTATTTAATAGTCGGACTAAACCATAAATAACAAGTATGATGCCATCAAAAATTAATTTGTAAATCATGTTTGAAATCAAGGAATAGATGAATTTTGGGAGGGAAGAACCAATGAACTATATTGAAACACACCTGCACATTGGAAATATTTCTAAATCCACGAAATAACAAGATATTGTTTGTTTTTTATAAATAAAAAACGTATCGAAAGCATGTTACTTAAAATGGCAAAGAAGACGGATCACCGCAGTAACAAAAGAAGAAGATTCTCATAAAATTTATAATTTATAATCATCAAGCGGAATTAATAGTAATGTTCAAACCTATACGCTGGATACAAAAGAAAATATCTAAAGTTTACACCATGTGGCGTACCTTCCCCCAAAATACAGCTGACTATTACGTGAACAATTTTAAAAGAAATTCATTGCCTCATTATTATATCATGAACATTTCCGTGAAGAAATTTTATAATAAACGCAAGATCCTTTTTATTATTCTTGTGCAAAGTAACACCAGGCAGGAATATTACCAATGTTAAAAAAACTTTATTACCCTGATTTTTGTATTGGTAACAAAAAAAATATAATTTGATTCTCTTCTAAATTTGGTAAGAACGAAAATTTTTAATTCAATCAAGTTATGTGCTTCTAACTTTGAATGGGAATCGGTTTGACACAGGTCCACGATTATGTAATAAGAAGCGTAAAATCCACGCTTCCTTTTTCAAATCCAAGATCATTAATTATATTTAAGTAAAAGCATTGATTGTGCCTATTTATGTAAAATACTGTGCGTTAAAAGAATTTATTGATCATTTGACTTATCTTCGGCTACAAAAGATGATTGATCGATCTGTAGTTCCAAAAAACGAAACAAGTATTAGGGACCTTAAAAAAACATGAATTTTATTTAATCGCGGGGAACATTTGTATAAAATGCAAGTGTAACATATTTCGGGACCATGACGTCCATGAGAATTTTTCTTAATTTCGAGCATTTGAAACTGATTTCTGATATTGTTTGTAGATGTTGTGGACATTAAACATATTATTGAAGGTACCCGAGCCAATCAAATATAAATAATGGAAATAATGCTAATAATTTGATTTGTGCTAACTTGTGTATTTATTTATTTATTAAATTAATTATTGATTTAATTTAGAACTTCAAACCTTAAAATAAATTACGAAAAAAACGAAAAGCTACATTAATCATAACGAATGATATCTCTCTATTTACTTTAACTCTTAGCAAACATCTTAAATTTTATAATTATTTCTAGATCTTTGTTTTTTTTGTTTGTTTGCTTTTTTTTTTTTTTTTTTTTTGAAATGTCAAGGAAACTAACATATTATTTTTTTTTTTGTCACAATAAAATTGAATATTATTGACATATATGATGGATTTTTTTTTTAGAAGATATTTTTTTTTACAAGAAATGGAGAGCCAGCGCCATTTCCTTGTCATCGTATCTATCTTCTTTTTTTTTCCTTTTAATTTCTAATTGTTTTTACATATATGATACATATTATTAAAGGGAATTTTATGTTGTTTGGGAAGATATATTTACAAACTATAAAGAAATGAATAGGGAGAGAAGAAAATGTTCCGATTTAATTAATTAATTAAATCTTCATATAATGTATGATAATTGATCGAGTTTAATTCTTTCAAGCTCGGCTTGAACTTTTTCGGGTGATACCGGTTTACCTATGTATCCATTCTAAATAAAAGAAAGAAAAACGAATTAAGAAAAAAATTTTTTTTTAATAAATATAAAAATCAAATCAATCTTTATTTACCATTCCAGCTTGGTTGAAACTTTCGTCCCATTGATTTGTGGTATAAGCGATTATTGGTATTCTTCTATTTTCTTCCAAAACAATTGTAGTATTACGAATTTTAATACAAGTTTCAACGCCATTTAGCAAAGGCATATCAATATCCATGAAAACAATATCAAAATTTTCATTGGCTAATTTTTGTAAAGCATCATTACCACTTATTACGCATGTCACTTCATGATTAAATTCCTTTTCCAAAATTTTGGAGAGAATTCTTCCGGTTATTATGTTATCATCCACAACTAAAGATTTAATCGTTGAAGAAAGGGGAGTTGGGTTTGGCGTTGGACTAGTAGAAACTGCCGATACATTAAAGGTTGCGGCTGTCATTTGTGAAGTATTGGTAGAAGTAATTTGCATATATTACAATTATTTATTAAGTCAAGTAAAAAAAATTTTTTTTCTTTAAATGCTAAAGGAAAATAAGTTTGAATTCTAATTATTTCGCTCGTTTATCATTAGATTTTACAGCAAAAAGTTCTTTAGAAAAATTTTTGGTGTGAATTATTTGGAGAAACAAACACAAACGAGCCCTTTTATAATTTATTTTTCGATAGTTGTTTTTCAAATCAAAGTTAGCTCAATTTCCTTTTTAGTAAGATGCTATATATACATTAAAAAAAAAAAAAAAAAAAAAAAAAAGCTAATGTTTAAGATTAATGTGTCATATAAATTATGTAAAATTCCGATATAACATACAATGATGTATTTATAAACTATAAGTTAATAAAAAAAGGAATCAATCAATTTGATTTTTTTTATTTATGTTATTGTGGGTATATATATATTAAGTGGCTAACTTGTAAATTGACCGGAGTAATTGCTTATGGTATCATTTCAATTATGCAAAATGGTATTTAAATCGATTATTTACGTCTTTTCCTGTTGATCTACAAACATTTAAGAGCAATCACGTTATGCCAAATTTAAAAATAGAACCTTTCGCTCACGAGTTATCTGTGTTTATCGCACAAAAAAGATCTCTTCAGTTTGATAATTCAGATTATTCAGATTGTCCGATTCTATATTCTTGGATCGAGTTCAAACTATCATCGAGTTTTATCAAAATTCCAATCATTGTCATTTTAGCATACAATGTAAGGGATTTTCATGCAAAGGCAAATTATATTTTTTTCCTAGGGGGTGAGGTGAGTTTTGGGAAAAGAGACCAAATTTTTTAAAAAAAAAAAAAATAAATGATCTGATCCAATCAGAGAAATCTTTTACTCCATATACAAAAGTGTTTTTTTATTAATAAAATAAAAAATAAAAATAATAAAATATAAACGATTGTCGAGAATGATTTGCTAGGAAAATGGGCTCTGACCATTTTTTATTAAAATTTAATTTTTGATAATGTTAGATTAAAATGCAATAAAAATTAAACTTTTAATAAAAAATGCTCAGAGCCCCATATATTACATATTGCCTTAGTTTTATTTTTATTTTTATTTTTTTGGTCCTAATGTAACAGTCTTGCAGAAGGTTCTTTCGGAGGAACATTACTTTTTCGATATTTGAAATGATTTCAAATATCAAAAAAACTTGAATTCGATCGAAAATATACTATTTTCAAACGGAAAACACTTTAGGAAAAGAATCTTCATGATTATCAGGAATGTTAACCTAAAAAGAATTAAAATTCTTCTTTTAAATAAAAATACAAATTAATTAAAAAGTTAGTCTTTATTTAGACATACAGTGGGAATGAATTCCTTGTTTTGGATTTTATTTGTTTAAAATAGCATTTATTTACTATCCTTTTTAAAGTAATTGTAACAAAGCCGATTCATTATTCCTTTTTTACAAACAAAAAAAAAATTTTTAAAAAGTACTACTGCATTGATAAAGCATTAGCGTACAAGATAAATTTTCGTTTGTTGAATTAAGTTTGATGAATCGGAAAATTTTTTATTTGGATTATTCTAGATGTTTAAATAAACAAGAAAAAAGAAAATTTATATCGTCAGCCAACCTATTTCAGGGAAAACAAACAAATCTTCAAGCAATTTTCTCGGTAATTTTCCTTCAAAAAGACTAAGAATGAGGCTTAAAAAAAAAAGTAGCAAAATTACCTTTGAAATCAATCATCGAGAAAGTTGTATATTCTCATCTGGCATTTCCCAATTCTAACTAGTGAAATATTAAAATGGGATTTGTTTGGAAGATCATATGACGTTCTTAAACCGGGTCCCTTTAATCTTTTGCGCGTTCATTTCATTCATGGAACCTCATTGGATGAAAAAATGTCGCACGCTGTACGTCATATTTGTAAATGAAGACCCGAGGCTAGTCCCCGAGTAAGTGCCCACGCTAGTCCCGAGTATCATATCTGAATCAGTCCCGAGTCATAATAGAGCTCAACATATCAGCCTCAAGACATGATTGAACCTTTTCACAAATTTATAATTATGTCACAACTTTTTGGTAAATTGTCCGAATAAATGGTCGGTCGCGATGGTTTAGATATTAAGATACCCAGTGTTTTTGATAAATTTTTTACCTTGCATGACAAAATATCTCAAATACTTATATTTTGATTTGTCACTAAACAAATCACTTTATTTGGTATATCTCATTTACCTAGAATATCGAACAATGTCAAAATCCTTGTTACTGCGTACTATATATTTAAAAATATTTTTTTTCATTATAAAAAAATTTTCTTCTAGATTCCTCTAGATTATTATGAATCTTCTCGTTGGGTAATAATTTGGTAATAATTGCCTTTGACGTAAACCGTGCGAATTATCTCGGCTCAACGTCTCAATAATCTCATAAAGTAAAACAAAAAAAAAACAATGAGGTGGCGCCAACGAATGAGAGCGGTGCACGATGAAGCAGACATCATCAAGTAAATTCCCACTATGATTCATAATCACACCTTCCATTTTTATCTTTTTTTAAACTGAAAAAATACAAATAAAAAAGTCACCCGATCAAAATAAATCCTTAAAAAAAGAACGAGATGTTTTTTCTCTAATCTCCAACCATGTTCTAGCAAGATGGTGGCTTGATCTTTTTTTTGCTCTTATAATTGTTAATATTACACGACCCTTGTTACAAACGAAAAAAAAAGATTTAAAAAGGATCTTCAAAAAAAAAGTACAAAACGTCATCGAATTCTATTTAAGTTAGTTAATTATTTATAGATCGATGTTACTATTTTTATTTGCGATAGATCGTTTAAAACCTCATTTAGTTGTTTGTTTACCCTTGATAAAGATGGAAAGATAAATATATTTTTCTTTATAAAAAAAAAAAAATTCAAAATTTAGAATTTCATAATAACCTTCAATCACATCTGTACTCCATTACTCAGGAAGGGCTAAAAAAGTATTGTGGCGATGCTATCATTTTATCAACTTAATTGGACATTACAGTTTTTTTTTTCTTTCTCGTTATAAAATTGAAAATACCTAATCAAGTAAATTAAAAAAAAAAAGAAATAGATGCAAAAAGAATAAATATTTGGAGGAATTAGATTGTTTATTTATTATTTGGCTAATTGTCAAGAGGTCAATAATGGATTATAAATTCATGTAACCATCCAACAATTTTTTTGATTTATTGAATCATCAGAAAATCGAATCTGGTTTATGTACCATTATTACCTACATTGGTAAATTCTTCGGTCTGTTTGATCCTATTATTATTATTTACCTCACTTAATTGATTCAATACTTATATTATTATTCCTTTAAAAAAAGTGAAATTCCAATGAATAAGAAAATCTCCCCAATCATAACATCCCATGCGATTTCACTTAACAAAAATTGATCGCTCCATATAAACTCATACAAGATGTGCTTATTCTTGAGCTTACGGTCTTCATTTTTTAACGGGAAACATTATCAATTTTGCAAATAGGATACTTTCAATGTTACAATACCTAAATTCACTATTATCGCTTTGATATTATACCATTATTCCTCATCCAAAGAAATGCTTTCCGAATATGTTACCTTGACCATCTATTCCTCATATTCAATACAAAACGTTTTATTTGATGAGCTCTTGTGAATCTTTCGGAAGGAAGCGATCATCTTAAAAATTGTTCTGTCTACAAGCGAAAGGACGATATATTTATATGTTTACCCCAGTATCACCAAAAAAAAATTCACACCCGCTGATTTTTGGCCGGCATTATAGAACTTGGCCAAAATTAAACACGTGACAAATAAGGTGACAAATAGGATCACGTGGTGATGTAGTCAGGAAAACATTTCTGATTTTTTGCTCCGAAACTTAAAACGATTTCCGTTTCCTCCTAGTTATTAACTTTCTAAATTTAATTTTTGGAAATTGAAATTAAATAAATACATTTGTAATTTTCGGCTGAATTTAAAGAAATACTGAGCCAGTTACCGAAATCACTTTGTCATAAGATTTTATCATTATTTTTATTTTTATTGAATAAAGCTTTTCAAATAGGCCAGTCATCATAATGTCATTGTCTTTTTTGTAGAACAATACAATTTGAATTAAGTTTAGGTCATTAGGTCATTAGTCCGTGAACAATGAAACGATTATGATTGTTTTGTGTGATGAAGGAATTTCTTTTAAGAACATAAAATTATAGCATACCATCGGTTCTTATGAATCAAGGCAAATAATTTGGCGGAAAGTTGAAGTCATCGCTCGGCCCCTGATTATTATAAATATTTTTATTCTTTGCTATCATAATTATCATTTACTTTATTTTTTCTTTTACAATTTTTATCTTTAACATTATATAATAAATCAATTTATATAAAAAATGAATGAATTGAATGAATACTTTAGTAAATTTAATTATATTATCATTTATCGGTCTAAACGCATGTGATCGTATCAAAGTTATTCGTTTAAAGTCTTTAGCTGCCGTGCATATTTATTAATACATGTATATATAAATATTTAAAACTATTACATTCAACTTCCCTTTATATACATTTAATAATTGTTCTTTAAAATAATAGTAAATAGGATAATATAATATTTTTAAAGTAAATATTATATAATTAAAGGCTAAAATTGTAATATCACGATCATAGTTTAAATAAACTCTCCGAGACAAAAAATTACTCCACGCCAAAGTATAATTATCATCTAAAATTTGTCGTTTCAAAACTTTGTGTAACACTAATTGCTTTTTATGTATGGAAATTAAATTTTATAATGCCGGCCTGAATCAAGACATAGGTCATATGATGTTTTGTACGGTTTATAGGTGAAAAAAATTGCAGAATTTATTCTTGGATTCATGTCTTGAATGTAAGATCTTAAGGAAATGCGTCATACTTATAATATCGAAACCTGCAAGAAAGTCACACAATGGGCAGACATTTCTTCCTGGACTTAGTAGTCTATAAGTTTCAACATAATTCACAATTGTAGTAATGTTTTTGCCAATTACCCTTTTTTGCTGAACGTGTTTCTGAAATGTGCATAGATATACTATGCCATATATTACAAAAAACTGAAATACCATAAAATTGCTGAAAGAATAATATTATTAATTATCAAAATGAATTAGGAAAAACTATAAAAAAATATATACATTTATAACTTCATTATCCTTTTCCAAAAGGTTTAATTAAATAAGAAACCAGAATATATTTAAGAATGATTAAAACCAAAACATAAATTAGTAGATTCTGAATTATTACAAATTGTTACATGAGGAACTTCTTGAAAATTTCCAACGAAATCCAAGTTGCCAATATAAACAAAGACATGCTTTATTATGGTTTTTTTTTAAATCAGAATCATTAAACACATATCGATAAGATAAGGAAACATTGAGAGAACAAGATTATCAGCAGTTTATGTTCTCCCAGGAAAGTGGTATGTAATTAAGCAAATTTTTAAAGCTACTACACAATTATTTCAAATTCAAAGTAGTTTATTCAACGTCAACTTCTTTCTTTATTTGAAGAATGAGCGAATCAGCAGTGTTGAATTTGTGCTGATTCTTCACAGAATTGAATAAGTTTTTGATACTTTTTTAGAATAGTCGTCATTTGGGTTGAAAATGATTTTGTTAACTCTAATTTGTACAGAAATATTTATCCTTGAATTTATTTATAGATTACTAATTTTAGCTTTGTAAAATATATATTTATTAATTTTATTTTTTAAGGAACATATTTATGAATGCGCCTTTAACAATTATTGTTGTATAACAATATTAATAAACGATTTATAATCCGTAAATTCTATAAATAAAATGTAAACGATCCAAATGATTCTCGAGACAAATTATTATTATATTCATGATTTTGTATAAGTTTTAAGTATTAGTTAATTTGATTTTTTTAGACAATATATTTATATATTTATATATTTACATGTATCACACCTAAATCGTTCTATTTAAAATAGTAAAGGAAAAAATAATATAAAATTTAAACTTCCTCGCGATCATTTACATTACCATGACTCTTTGATTTATATCGTGATCAGATTCGTGATTTGATTTGTGGTTACGTTTCTCGACTAGGTTCACGATTAAGATCCTGATGAGTTTCACGACTAGGTTGATAATCAACCTTAGAATTCTTGCAACAATTTTTAGACATAACATCGTAAACATGAGAAACCAAATCAATTACAAAAATCAAACTACTTGTAATTAAAGTGAAGAAAGGTATCAAAGTATAATTTAACACAGTTTGAAGATAGATAATCTGAAATAATTATTATTATTTGTTAATATCTTCAGCAAGAAAAATATATATATATATATATTTATATACTGTACACGCTTAAAATAATAATAATATCTAGCAAATACCTGAAAAATTACTTGAGGAAAATCAACGATCAATACATTAATCGCACTACCATATAATATCCAGATTAATCCAACTTTAGAATAAGGAGCTGAAAACGATTCTAAACCAGCGATTCTGCTTTTTAATGTATATAACTCTTCTACGTCGGCGATCGCAAGTACAGTGAATAATGTTGCTAATTTTGTATGATTATCAAACCATTTTTGAAAGTCAGGATTGTGTGATATTTCACGCGTTATAATTGTTACGCTCATGAATGAATTAAATGCAAATGATACTGCTAATATAATAATGCTATATTAGGAAAAAAAAAAAAAAAAGGATCCGTTAGAATAAAGATTGAGGGGGAAACAAAAGTAAAGCTTAGAATTGTACCTTGGAATGAATATAAAAGGAATTTTTCTTCCATTGTATATAACAAATAATATGTCAAATGCTAAATCAAATAAGACCAATGGAATTTTAAATATCGCTGAATTATTTCCCTATAAAACAATCAAACAAGATTATTTATATTTATATTTATTTATTATTTTACAGTGAAAACTAAAGTTAAATGTTACCTTTGGATGTTTATAACGAGCCCATAAATACAAACTTCCTAATGTTAAACATATAATAATAAATCCAAAGAATAGATACCTCACAACGTGCCATAAATTCGCTACAAAATAAAAAAAAATCATTATTAACCAATCATATTTGATAATTTCCCCTTTTTTCCCTCAAAAATACTCACGAACAATATGAACATCAAACGTTTCATCCAAGTATCTAGCATGACTTAAAGTTGAGAGCATAGTAATTTTTTTATTTTCGATTAAAGTTTTCAAACTATGGAAAACATTTTGAGAATTTGGCTCAGTAACATTTCCCACTTCTAATATTTTAAATTCAAATAATAATCTTTTATCTTTCGTTGAGGCGTCTTTCTGTACTCGATTATTGAATACCAGTCTATAATGTTTAATCGGTATACTTTGAGATAATTCTGTATGTAAATGATCTAAAAAATCTTTATCCGCAAAGAAATTTCGTGTTCCTTCATAATCAAGCCTCAATAAGACAGTGAGTCCTTCTGTAATTTCTGTAATAGCATTCTCAGTCGACGCTTATCACGTTGTACATTTTTTGTTTAGATACTTGTAAAATAAATACGACCACGGAAAAATATGATTGCGAAATATAATATAACTTACATGCATTAGTTTTAAAAGTCCAGAAACCATTTTGTATACCGCTTAAAGGTTCATCCAATAATGAATTCTTAACGAAGTTATTATCAACGACCACCGTATAATTTGTACCCAAATGATTAAAGGTACTATTTAGTACATTACAAGAGATTGTATTCTTATCATTTTCATCAATCCTACAATATTCTGAAAGTCCCGGAAATGTTTGTCTTAAAATGTTTGATCCAAATTCGTCAATTTGGTAAATTGTAATATTTCCAGAACTTTGCGTAATAGGAATTGAATAGGTTACACTTATTGTTTCCGGATAAGGTGCGAATAAAATACTATTTATCTTTGGTTCGGTTGTAACTACAAGTAAATTATTGTATCCACCTAAGATTAACAACAAAAAGAGGAAAAAAATTAGCGACCTGTAAAAATGCATAAAAAAGTATAATAAATTGCTTGTAACTTACTGTCTTGGATAAATTTTGGCATATCACTTGATACAATTTTATCTGTTAAGCTATCTAAAGCGATCCACGCAGTATTATTTTTAAACATGCCAAATCCAAGTAATTTACTATTTTCCGTTAAAATCTTTGGTATGTCCCATTCTCTTCCTAAATTATTTCCGTTTTGATCATAGATGTGACCAGTGATAGAATTTCCGGTATGTCTAATTAAAAGTAAACCATCATTTTCCAAAGGTATTACGGAATCCGTAATATTATTAGTGTCTAGTGTTGGTTTTTCTGGCGGGGTTATATTGTCATTATCCAAACCAAGCTGGTTAATATTAATAACCGAACCTGTAGACAAGAAAGAAATTTCTACAGTAGCAGAAAGGAATAAATCTGATCTATTAACAACAGATTTAAGGAAGCAAACGTTTGCATGGTCAACAAATGCAACTTTACATGATTGAATCTCAAATGAAGTAATTGTATCTTCTGAAGTTTCGTAAACCAATGCTGGCAATTGTAAGTTTTGTGGGGTGTTTTTGTGTATGAAAGTTAAATATGCCATATAAATTGGTTGCGCTTGATAACTATTGATTAAATCTACATTTTTAACATTTAAATTCTTAAGTAAGATTAGAACACCATATGATCCTTTTAATGTACCAAACGCTAAATAATCTATCAACTCGGTTTGTTCTGGATATTTAATTGGGCCAAGAGAAATCAATTTAATGGGGTTGGCTTCGGGAAGATGTTCTTTTTCATCATGTTCATCATGTTCATGTACTTGTTCATCAGGTTCGTGTTCTTGTTCAGATTTGTGTTCAGGTTGTTGGGCTCCTTTGAACGAATAAGAGAATTCATTCCATGTTAATTGATGATCAATGTTTTTTGTTATAATGATAAAGCCATCATCGGGATTGATGTTGGTTGCTACCGTCGGGTGATCACTAGAGTCATACGGACAATTCAAGTTGACGTCACTGCAAAAGTTTCAAATTTTTTTAGTATTTGCCTGTATTAGTAATAATCATCATCGGGATATCAACTTACTATGCAAGAACTTCTTGATTCCAATTCATGAGCATACCAAACATGTTCAGATCTTTACTATCCTCGTTCACATTCCTGGCGTACATTATCCAAATGTAGTTTTTGGCTAAAGGGTAAATGTCAATCAAAGTGTTTCCTCCATTTTGACTTTCGACATCAATATTTATCACCGAATTCGTCCCATTTGGAAATAAAAGAGTAACGAACCGATTCGCTGATGGTGGTGATATTAACATTAATGTATCATCATTTATATATTGTTTGATATTATTAAATTTTTGAGTAGTTTCGATTAAATTGTACGCGATTACTTTATCGAAGAAATGTGACACGAAGATCGTCGTCGTTAATATCCAAAGAAAATTTTTTAGCATGTTTTATGATTCTAAGAAGTATTTAAGGTATTTTTTTTTTTTTAAAAAAAAAAAATAAAAAAGAAATGAGAATGTTTTTTTATTTTATTTTATTTTTTTTTTTTGAGATAGATATATATATATATATATATATCTTTTTATTTATTTTCAACTATGGAAACAAAAAGAAAAAAAAAAAGGCTTAAAGCTCTTAATAATTTGTCTGATCTATTTTTTTTTCGTTTGATCTATTATTAACACTGCATTAGTTGAAACACATTGATTTTATCTCAAACAAGTTAATGTGGCGCAATAAATAGTATCAGGTTTCCTAATTTTTTTTCGCAATTCGTTTGCCAAGAAATCCTAAACTAAATTAAGAAGCCGAGTGTGACGAAGTCAATTTTCTCGGAAATGCTCAGTTTCCGATTTTTTATTGTATGATTGATAAATAATAATAAAGGAATGTATTGTTTGATGATATTATTAACATTTATTGTAAAATTGTAGATTTTCAAAGACAAAGAATTTGTGTTACATTGGATTGTGATCATCATTATTTAAAGTAAGGTGATAGTATCATCATCACTATTTAGGTTCAAAGGTTCATTTCCAACTATTATGCTCTTTCTTTTATCATAAAGAGCAAAGACTAGATTATAAATGCTACTTTTTTTAGCATTCTTCGCATAAATGTCGTTAGAATTTTTATTGATCTGCTGCCCTTGTTGTTCTCGTTTCCTAGGTAAATCAAGCTTATAGATATTTTCAACATAAACTCCCTTTCTAATTGTATCTAAAACGACCTGTTTATGCTGTTTATCTTCTTTATGCCTTATCATTAATTGATTGAAAATAGGATCAAACAAAAAGATGATCAAGGTAAAGATGCCTTGTGATGATGAAAATATCATCGGAATTATATTAATAGATAGATTATTTCTTGTAATTACATAATAAAAGTTTGATATTATTGTTGGTGAATATGTTAAAATCGGTATTAATGAATAAAAAATTATGCGAGTAACGTATCGTGAAATGAAATGGGTGGTGGTGGTGGTGGAGTTGTCGATAGATGAACCTTGTCGCCTCTTGTTTAATCGGTAAAGTATCAGGAAAAGTGAGAAAATGCAATAAAGGACGGACCAAGTGATCCATGAAAGGTACGTTGCCCATTTCCAGGTAACTAGAAAGGAGGAATACACATTTTGATTGGTTAAAGATTTATTATTGATTGCAAGCACCCACAATAAATTTTATGATACCTACTTGAACTGTACCAAACATGCTTTGATTCATGATCAATATTCAACTCGTAGAACGAAATAGGCAAAATACTTAACAGCATCGCAAGTGATAATGGTAATATTAAATAATACTTTTCGAATTGAGTAGTGTTTTTGTAATTATATATGTATATGAGCGTCACATTAAATAATATCGACATTATTAGAAAACAAATTAATAACGAGCTGAAAATATATCCCCATGATGCTAAGTAAGACATCCAACTTGAAAATTGATTTGAATTAATTCTTAATATCTATAATGATAACGTGTGGTGAAATAAAAAAAAAATTTCAATCAACCGTTAATAAATAAATTTATTTCAATTTTTTTTTTTAAAAAAAAAAAAACTTACTTGGGATATTGAAAAAAAAATTTCTGCCATGGAAATATACATCATTAAACGAAGCGAAATTCTATTTGAAAAATTAATTCTTTTAACTTGTAGCGTTATTATTGTTGTCAATACAAGTGAAGAACATAGAATTGAAATGAAATTCAAGACATAATTTATAATATATAAATATTTATGACGTGACGCTTCGTTGTAAGTCATTATTGTTTGATCTTTATCCATGTTGTTTGGTAGATAATAATTATTATTAATTATTTTATTTTATTTTATTCTATATTTTTTTTTCTATTTTTTTTTTCTACCCTACTGAATACTCTACCAAAAAGAAAGTTGATACGAATATTTTAAATATCTCAAAATTAAGTCAACAACATAGAATTAGAGATCAAACAAGAGGCGAAAAAATTCACTTGGTATTAATGCATTTATGATGGTAATTGATGGGAAAAAAAGAGACGAGGAGCTTTTGCCTTTTACCCGTTATCCGTTACTTAAATAAAAAAAATTATTCTCAATGTCATGATGTTTTTACTATTAAATGTTTTAGTAGATCGTAATGAGAGTGACTTAAAAGGAGGCTCTTTTTAGAAATAAAAAAAAAATGATGATGATCATCCTTTTTACCATGCGAATGCCAATTTTTTCATTCATAAGTTCAAATCACTATTTAAAAATAAAATAGGAAATTTCTATAATAATGAAAATAATGATTTACGAAATAATATAATTTATATAAATGCGCGAGTTATGAACGCAAATCTTTTTCCTAAAAGAATTAGAATCTTTAACCATAATCGAATTAGTGGATTTTTTCAATGTTGATAGAATATTTAGAATAATATTATATTTATAATCGGAAATTGAATTAGAATGAATGATTTTCACGTATATTCTAAATTTCATAGAATTCTGACAAGGAACATTAGAAATGGAATTCGGTCCATCGAATTTTTGACAATTTTTATATATTGTAATGTAATATGACAATAGCATGTTTAAGAAAAAAATATATCAAGTGATGCGTATCGTCGCAAAAAAAGGAAGATCATCGTCAGTAGTTGATAACTATAAAGAATATTATCGCACGTCCCTATAGGAACGTGCTGAGCTTGTTTGAAATTGTCCCACACTGTCCCAAACTGTCCCAACAACAACACTACTGCGGAATAATAATGATAACCAAAGTATTATTTCTAGTGATTTAGAAATTAATAATAATAAGTTTTTATTTTTATTTTTCATATAAATGCTATTATCTCGCATTGGCATATTTGTTTGAGAAAATGTTAAAGATTAATAGAATTAAAATAATTGATAGGGTTCGATGATTTGTGGGTCGTGCGATAATATACTGTAGATATTGATTAATTACATTGGTAACGTCACGAAATAATCCATAAAATATAGAACAATTCTGAATAAATGAATTTAGCCTTTAAAAAAGATCATGCGGTTGGGGGTCTATAAATGGAACATAATAATTATTTACAAACATATGTATGTTTTTAGTTTGAATAGTGATTTTCCAACTACAGCAAGAAATTTTATTAGAATATGAAGATGATGATCTTTTTATATAAAATTAATGCCTCATGACACATTTTGAGAAAATCAAAATCAAGTAAATACTTTGTTTTATGGTTAATTATATACTGCAATTTCCCCCGTTTACTAATGATACTACACATCGATATTTTACTGGATTTACTACCGTAATTGAATTTTTTATAATAAAAAAACTTTGTTAAAATGGGTTTATAATTATAAGTCTAATTAAATAAAAGTTAACATTTTGAAAAAGACATTCGTTAAATCATTGAATGCTTTATACTCAGTTACTCTCTTATTTTTTCATAGTAGCAATATAACTTGCCACTTGATTTTCTAATATAAATGTCTGAAATAAATGAATTGAATTTTATATCTCTTGTGGATAAGAATCAGTCATATCTTTTCGAAAATTTTCAAAATTGTTCAAGCCATTTTTCGTTGGTTTTTCTGTATTTTAAGCACGCAGTTGTATTATTATAAATATTGGGGGTACCACTGATCATACCTTGAGCGGGTTTTGGTTCTCTCTTCGTGCGAAGGAAGCAGCATCACGACCAATTCAAATTCGCGTAATAAATTGTATCAAAAATTGAGTCTCAATTTTTTTTTTGCTATTAAAAATAATCATTATCCCAGGGTCGAATACAAAACCTAATTCCCTTTGCAATAAAATGTTTAGTTAATTTTCTCCTAAATAATCTTTTTCTTTCATAAGCAAGGTATGAAAAATAACTGAAATATTTCTTCAATGTTTTGAACGCTTTTTAAATTAATTGTGTTCTACCACTCTATGCATATAATTTATGAGGGAAAAAAATGAAATGATTTTTATGCAACCTAATCTAAATTATTTAAATAAATCGAATTAAATTATAAAATATCAAACATTAAAATAAATTTCTTCATCATCGTTATTGTCATTATTCATTAAATACCAAATTTCATCGTTTTCATTAATTCCCCATATATTACCTTCAGGACTAATTGAAACATATTTAAGTAGTCCACCTTCGATCCTCTTCCAACCCCCATTTTCCCATAGAAATATTTCATGTTTATGATTTATACCTATAACGTGATGAATCGATGCAACTTTAATTTGTATAAGACTCCCGTCAATTGAATCCCTATAATAATAAAAATGAAAGGATAAATTATTTCAAAAAGATAAAATAAAGTTTTTTTTTTTTTTTTTTGGAAAAAGAAAATAATAAAAATAAAATTTTACCAGCCTTCACCATTCCATCTAAATATTTCATGATTAGCATTTACCCCCCAGCAAGTTCCATCCGCTGAAACAGAAACTTGAGAAAGATTACCAGGAGCTTTTTAAAAAATAATATCTACCATTAGAATATATTCATAGAATTAAATTTAATAATTATTACTCATGATAAATACCTTTAATCCAAATGTTGTCTCTCCTATAATAAACTTCATCTTTTGAATTGATTCCCCATATATTATTTTCATCACCAACAGCGATTTGTTTTAAAAATCCTTCAACTCTCATCCTATCAAATTAATTTAATGTCAATTTTTTTTTTCATAAAAGAATATAATCTCTAAATTGTTACATACCATTTCCCATCAACTCCACCCACTAGCCTGTAAATTTTATGATCTTTAGTGGTACACCAAATACTATTATCAGCGCCAACAGCAATACTTGAAGCCAATACTCCTTTTGCATGTAACCAAGATTTAATGTTCCACTTGAAAACCTAAATAATTTAATTGACAAATTTATCCTTTTTTTTGTATCAAAATATTATTATACTTCATAAAGGTTACATGCTGAAATTGTTTATTATTTACCTGATAATCATCAACTCCCCATAATTCCGATTCGGAACCGATATCAAGAAGTTGTAAATATCCGTCAATTTGTTTCCAACTCATTCTTTACATATATAAGAATAATCAAAATAATGGAATTCATGTACAATAAAAAAAAAAGAGAAAGAAGAAAGACAATCTAATCATGTTGATGACTTGGCATTTTCGTTAAACGTTACAAAATTTAACCCCTGGAAGGATTTCGTGTAACCATACTTTATGGGAAGAAAAGGTTTAAATTAATTAGTTTTTAATCAACCTATTTTTTTAAATTTAATTTTTTTTTAATCACTATAATTAATATATAATTTAAATTAAAATATCAGAAAATATTGTAAAAAAATAATTTAAATTAAAATACCGACTTTAACCATTTAAGAAAAAAATTTAATCAATCGTTAATTATAATGACTTTACCAAGTCTAATAAATCATAGTAATACATGTTGAATAAATTTTTTCGCCATTTTCTAAAGGACTTGAAGAATAAATAAAATAACGATAATAACGCGAACGTTACCAACTTTTGTTTGTGTGCTAAGTTGCTGTTATGCAGGATTGTGGGTAAAAAATATGTTTTCCAATCAATGGATGACAAACTCGGATATCAGCTAACACTTAAACCGAATATTAATAATGATTGATCATCGTGTCCTTAATTATTACTTTTGTCATGTGTATTTATTTTCACCTATTTCGGTAGTTGCTTTTGTCAATGTTATCGCAAGTATTTGGCTGTATTAGGTTCACAGGTGGGTTCTCATACTGAAATATTTACAGACACGTAAAGTATCATTCATGTATACAGTTTCCCAAATTAATGTAAATTCGCATCATTTATTTTATTATAGGAATCTGTGAGATAACAGTGTAATTTGAAAGCAAATAATGTTTAAATAATCACATTTAAGGCTAGTAATCATATTTTTTATACTACATTGTTTCCAAATGATTTCGAATAGGAATCTTTGGATACCTGGACTATTTACAGCCGTCGTTGAATATTACATTGGAATTTTAAGACCAATATACCGTTAAATTTTAAAAACCCAATAAATAATTCTGATTAATAAGATAATCCTAAGTAAATTATATAGCAACGCTTATCTTCTTCTTATTATTATTTTATTTCATTGTAAACTTTTATTGTATAAAAGCAATACGAAGTGAATGAAATATATTAAATCAAATAGTAATTGCTTCATAAAGTGATGTAAATAAAAAAATAATAAGCTTGAGTTCACAATATCTAATCTCCATGTTCTCTCCAGTGAATATTATAGGTGGAAGGGTCTTCATCTTCGCGATAGGTCCATTCCTCAAGAGAATCAATTGTAATTTGGCAATCTGGATGGTTTTCGTTCCACCACGAAACGAATTTTTCAGGAGTAGTTAGGCCTCTCGCCTTGAGGCTTTGGGTCCGGAAATATTCCATCATCCTTATAATATTTCTTGAGAGATACTATAGTTTGAATGAAAAGTGAACATTTTTGTCTAGCAATTTTTATTGAATCAAAGTTGATCAGTTAACTTACAAATACTGTGCTTAATCGTTAGCGCTCTACCTTCTTCAGAATCACTATCATCGTCGTCAGGCGAGTAATAATCATTTTCTAAACAAATCAATTTAATTTATATTTAATGTTTCATAATAACTTGGAAACATGTGTGTTGCTGTCAATACCATTTATTTGATTCTTGGAAGTTTCGTCCACAAAATTTTTATAGTCTTGTTCTTCCAGAGGAGAGTCCTTAACAGATTGATTTTTGGTTTTGGTTACGTTCATTGTGAAAATTTCGCACAGGAAATATTGAAAAAAAGGATATTACGTCATATGATCATCATACTGTAAGATCTTTTTTTAAAAAAGTTGAACTATATTATGTGACAAGCAAGCCTTAGCGTTTTGTTTTTTAATCATGTCGGGAAGTACTATGGATAACGCAAAATCGAGAATGGTAATTAGTAATCAATTCTCAAATTTCTCTGGAAAAACAAACACTATGGCTTTTGGCGCGCTAACGAGGGTGTTCTACAGACAAGCTTGCCAAAAAGTCTCCGCACGATTTCCAATATAAAAGTTCTGGCTTCAATAAATTAGGAAAGCTGATAGTATATTAAGGCGAGTATCTTCATGTTTTTGCAAGAAAAAGTCTCTATATCTACAACCGGAGGGATGGCTGTTATTGGTTAGACACAGAAAATTATTTTGGTGGAGAACTTTATCGTGTCTTTCTCAGAATTGACGCAAGGAAATAGACAACCTCTTAATTACCGTCAAATACGAGAAAATTATTTCTTTGGATATACAGGTAATGAGTATGGTATGGACCCGCTGTATATATGGTCATTTTCTGTAGAAAGGGAGGAAACTCTAAATCTATGTTAAAACTGGAATTATTATACAAAAAAATTATATTTAGCATATAAAAACATTTCATTTGTTTTTTATAGTTTCCTCCTTTCTATTCCATATGGTATGATGATATTCTGTATTAAAAAAACATATACCATGCCATACTCACTAAGGAAATCATACTATACCTATTCCATACGCTAAGAGAAAAACGGGTTTATAGCTTTATAAATTATAAGGTAACTCTTCAATGTTAACTGTATAGATACGACACACAATTGTATTTGATTAGTGTTATTCAAGTTGTAAAGCACGTCCAGTGCTATGCTTGATGCTCTTGCAAATAACAAACTTGGAATTTGCATCCGAACATATAACATCAGCGAAATGGGATTTTGTTTCCTGCATCTATAAATCCTATATCACTCGCAATGAATGCGAATTTCAAAAGAATGAAAGCTTCTCCTATCATAACTTCTCCTCCCAATCTTTAGACAACACGTATTCAGTCTAATATTGAGAGGACGATTTTAGAAAGCGAGGAAGAATAGGAAAATCTCATCGAAAACAAGGAAGCATCAACTAAGTTCAGTATCTCATCGCAAAGATGAGAAATTTAATTGTGTTATAATTTAAAATTTTCGGAAATCTTCTTATTTATGAAATTACACAAATAGAACAGAGAAAAGCATACGTCAACCTTCTTTTATATTACATGGCCGACTTGGATATTGGATTCAAGAAAGTATGCAAGTTAAAACGAAGAATAATTTACAATTCCTTTCATTCCTTTTTATTATAAAAAAATAAAAAATCGCGTATAAATGTCACATGACACGACGACGTTTAGAAAACGTCCAAAAAGAAATTTTCTTAAGTTTCTTATAAGGCAATAAATATTACCACAAGAGATGATCATCTAATCGCATGCATTAATGTTTGTAGATAAAAAAAAGGATTTGTTGTGTATAACAACTATCTTTAAAACTTTTCCTTTTTTTTTTTTAAAAAAAAAAAAAAATGGGATATCAACTATCTGATAATAAATTTTTGCGTTTTTATTTCATTGGGATGATTATAGTTTTAGGTATTTATTTGTTCTTTAATGACATGAACATGAAGAAAAGTAAAGTGGGACTCCCACCATTTTCTAATTATTCCGAAATAAAGAAAATTGATGTTAGTCGGGGAGAAGATTTTTGGATATTAACTGATAAGGATGAAGTAAAGTATTTATTTAAAAGATTCCTCATTTCATAACGGTTCGTTAATAACAGATTATTATCAATTTAATAGCTTTATCATTGGAGCACAATTTTGAAAAAGCATATTTTTATGGTAAAGGAAGTGTCTGACTTTTCTATCGGATCCGATGGAACGGCCGTTATCCTTAAGAATAATGACGAAATTTATATTAGAAACTTGTTCTTTAATTTATGGTAAAAATACTTATTACAAAAGTTGAATAAAATTTTTATTTACTTTATATGCTTTATTTTATATATAGGTATAGAATAGATGATGGGAATTACAAGCACAAAAGCATTTCCATTTGTGATTCCAATACAATTTTTACAACAGATGAACGTTCGGATTTCATTATTGGTGTTTATAATGTCGCAGCAAATACGTACAATTGGGAATATGGTATGAAATCTTGATCATTATCGAAAACAATTTCTCGAAAAGGATGATTATTCATAACATTAACTTTCATTGTTTAGTTGATAGACTTCACTATTATTACGATGTTTATTGTGCTCCTCGTGACCAGTCATTATGGCTTAAGGATCATTATAGTTATATTTATAGATATATTAATCGTCATCAACGGTAAGATGTTTCGATTTAATAAATGCTTTTGAAGAAGTTTCTTTTGATTAACCTCACGATTTTCCTTGCCATATAGTACTCCTTTAACAGAGACTCCATTTAGACATATAAAAGTTCTTTCGGAATACCACGCAATTGGACTTGACTATATAAATAATTTATGGGAATATACTAATGGTACCTGGATTTCGATTAGAAGCAATGTTAAATGTGCAACTATTAATTATGATGGTGACATATTTTTCCTTGATAATAATCTTATTGATAAATTTAAACGCAACTTATGAAGGAAATAAATGAATGGTCCAATGCAATGACACTTATTTTATTCTTGACAAGCATCAGACTGCATACATTTTCATGACATGTGAATGGTGAAATTCATTTTGAATTTACACTTTCACAAAGATCTTTTCCGTTTTCTACATTTGGAATGATTTTCTTCTAAAATTGTAATATAAATAAATCTCCTCATTCAAAAGAGATAATCTCGTGAGACTTTGGCGATGTATAAAGCATCAAAAGGAATTATTTGCTTAGATAATCCAGATGATCATTGAATTATAAAATGCATGACGAAGAATTTATCTTTTTTAAAAGTCGAAAAAATGATATTATCATTTTTGCGTCCTTTTGTTGGAACGATTTTCATTTTTATCGTTTATTTGCGATTTGGATACACAAGTTAATAAAGTAGTCGTACCTTTATCATCTCCATTTCCATTCCCCATTGTCCATAGAATCAAGAAAATTGATGTTGGTCGAGGAGAAGACTTTTGGATGTTAACAACTGATGATTTTGTAAAGATCATTTTTTAAGTTACAATCGATTTCATTGCGAAAACAAAATTTTTTTTTAGTAATATTATTATGTGTATTTAATCAGCTTTATCATTGGAGTCAAATTAAGCAAGAATTTGTTTTTAAAGATAATAATATTTCAGATTTTTCTGTTGGGCCAGAAGGAATGGTTGTTTATGTTAGTGGAAATGATGTTTATAGAAATTCTTATTTTGGTGATTCATGGTAAAATAAAAAAAGAATTTCATAATTTTTATATCTTTTTCAATTATAAATGATTTAATATATATAATTTTGAAAGGAATAAAATTAGTTATGGAAGTTATTCTCAGGGTAGAAGTATTGCTATTTGTGATTTCAATACAATCTTTGCAACGAATTATATCAACCAACTCGTTAAAGCCGTTTATGATATTAAGACCAATACATATGACTGGGAATTCGGTATGACAATAAAACCATTTTCGTAAGCAAATAAAGCAACCCTGATTTTAAAATATTATTTATATTTTAGTTGATACCTCCAGAATTTATAGATACGTTTCTTGCTCTTCCCATGATCATTCATTATGGTACATAGATCAAAATAATCTGATTTATTTATTTGTTAATCATTTCGTTCGGTAAGAAATTTTATTACATTTGCTTTTTTGAAGGGAAAAAAAATTTTTTTTTGACTTTACTTCATTATATAGAGTCCTTAAGTCAGAAGCTCAATTTAAACAAATTAAATCGCTCTCTGTACAGCATGCAATTGGAATTGATTTCAATGATACCTTATGGCAATATAATAATGGCACTTGGACTTGGACCAGAGATGATGTCAAAAATGCAACTATTAATTTTAATGGTGATATTTTTTTTTATTGATGGAAATTTTACTGTGCTTGTCCGATTCAAAATATGAAATTTGAAACGAGCACCAAAACTTACGAAAGAAAAAGAAAATCAATCAAAGTATAAACATGATTTTATGATTTTCAAAACAGATTACTAGTATCCTTTCGTTTGATACAATTAAATTAATAAAATTAAATTTATTAAAATACTATATAATTTTACTACAGAATATTCATTTTAAAAAAAAATTATTTTTATGATAGAATTTAGAATTTAAATTTTTTTATTTTTATTTTTGAAGTTTGCTATTTATCACCAAAGGTGGTTAGCACCAGTGTTAAATCAACCAATAGTAATTGACGTTTTTTATTACCTCATGTGATCGGTGACATTTAAGAGGGGTGAAACAAATATTTTTTTAGAGATAAATTAATTCGTTCCTAGAATACAAGAAAGAATACATAGTAAAAATGAAAACAGGGAGGTGACGTAGGGTGACAAATAATAAATGCAATATAAACAAACTAATCCAAGAGCATCCTGAAAAATTCTGCTATCAAAAATCATTTTATCAATCATTCCTAAAATTAATAATATAACTTTATCAATAAAACAGATTTTTTGATATAGCCTGATACAAATTTATATTACTTTTAAAATTATATCTTTTTAATGTATTTTTGTCTACTCTGCAAGTTCACTTAGAACAAAAAAATGATTTTAAATAATATTTTTGACTTTTTTTATAAATAAATAATTTTTTAAAAAATATCATTTAAAATCTTTTTTAGAGCTCTATTTAAACTTATAAAGCAGGCGAAAATACAATATAAAATTGTATTTTAAAAGCTTATACAGTTTAGTTTATATTCCAAAAATAAAGAAAAAATAAAAATTTCATTAAATTTAGATCATCTAAATTAGTAAATGATCAATAAGATGATTGCTGATAGCAGAATTTTTTGAGATACTCTTATATAAACATATAAAACACATAATATCAGTAATAAATACCAGTGATAATACATAATAAATTACTTTATTTTTTTATAAAATAGTAATTGTTACATTTTTTTTAAAAAAAATATTCTTTTAATTTTATCAAAAAAAACATATTGAATCTTATTAAGTTTAAAATATATCAATATGAGTAAGTTGATAAATCACTTTGAGAATAGAATAATCGAAATTAAAAGAAAATCATTAAAAAACTTTATTTTTTTTTGTTATTTTATGATATATGGGAGGTTTGCTAGAAAAATGGGGCTCTGAGACTAAAAAATTTTTTTGAATAAATTAAAAAATCAAAATAAA